AATGTCACACATGATCTCATCTTGATACTTCCCAATTGAAAGAGGTACCTTGACTTGTTCTTTGACGGACATCTCACCCGTGTCATTGAGCCATTGGAGTGAATACGGTCTCGGGTGTTCAAGCACTTCTAAGCCAAGCTTCTCGACCATACTCCTGCTCGCAACGTTAGTACAACTTCCACCATCGATAATCAAACTACATACCTTATCTTTGACGAGGCAACGTGTATGAAACAAATTTTCCCTTTGCGCTTGTTCCTCGGCTTTAGTTAGAACACTCAACGATCTTCTCGCAACAAGCAACTCTCCTTTAGTAGGGGCTTCCATATCTTCTTCTATTGAGCCTTCTTCCGAACGATCATCTTCGGATTCTACTTCGCCATTCTCTCTAAGAACCATGATCCTTTTGTTGGAACATTCGCTCGCGTAATGCCCAAGTCCTTGACACTTAAAGCATCGGATATCTCTAGCCCTCGTGATTACTTCCTTACCCTTTGCTTTTGGATCTAGATCGACCTTTGGCTTGACGAACGGCTTGTAATCCTTTTGATAACCGAACTTCTCTTCCTTTTGATAACTTGGCTTTCCCGTGCTGTAGCTGGTCTTGGTGTGACTTGATCGGGCGTTCCTTCTCTTGATTTGCTGCTCGAACATAACCGCTTTGTGAAGCATCTCCTCAAGCTCCACATAATGTTGAGTTTCTAGACGATCTTGGATTTCTCGGTTAAGACCTCCCATGAATCGAGACATGACCGCTTCTCCATCTTCTTGAAGATCGGCTCTTAACATAAGGGTTTCCATTTCCTTAAAGTACTCCTCGACGGTCTTGCTTCCTTGAACCAAATTCCTCAACCGCTGATGTAGTTCTCGATGATAGTAACTTGGCACAAATCTTTTTCGCATGACGGCTTTAAGCTGGTTCCATGTGTCGATCGGATAGTCTCTGGCACGTCTTCGGCTAGTGACAAGTTGATCCCACCAACTTAGGGCATAGTCGTAGAATTCAGTAGCCGCAATTTTAACCTTATTGCACTCAAGACTTTCTTGACAAAGAAAGACCAACTCAATTTTCTGCTCCCATTCCAAATAAGTATCCGGGTTGTTGGTTCCATGGAATGCGGGAATTTTGAGCTTTAGACCACCCAAAGGATCTCTAGGTGGTGCTCTCTCTCGGCGACGCCTACGTTGGCTGCTGTGGGAAGAGGCGTGACTATAGTAACTCCTTGCCTCATCATTTTGCCTTGGTTCTTCATGCCGTGGTTCTTCTTTCCTTTGACGTTGATTTGGTTCCGGGTTGACTTGATGCAAGTGTAGAGCACCAATCTTTTCCTCAATCATCGTTGCCATGGCGGTGGTGACTGATTCCAAAATCCTCTTCTCAAGACTAGATGTGGATGACTCTTCTTCTTCTTCGCTTGTCACCATTGTACCTGAAAAATCAAAACTTTAACAAGTAAACAGTCCAATAACAGACAAATTTAAACGGATCTGGAAAAATAGTAAATTGACTCTAAAAATTCTGAAATTAATTTTAGAAAACAATAGACTCTTCACTGGTTCTAACGCAATAGGTTTCACAATTTTTGAACAAGCCAATTATTTTATAAAATTCACGCAATATTGAAACAAAATCAGAAAAACGGAAATTTCGGGATGGAACTTCAAAACCTGGTTACAAAGTGGCTCTGATACCACATGATAGACTCCTTGCCGTGGATCTATGCTCCAAGGACCACTTTGATGGTTTTGAAAAGGATGTGGCGAGATTGATGGTGAACGATGGATAGATCTTGAACAAAACAGCGGAATGACGATGAATGAGGGTGATGACGAGATAGAGTGGACGCAGCGGAAAGAAGGGGAGAATGAGGTGTACTTCCAAGAGGGATGAGAAACTCTTAGACTACAAGCTTGGATCCAACTTAGATATTACACACTAAGAAGAAAACAAGTTGAAAAGATATTACACACTTTTCGGATCAAACAAGTAAAGAGAGAGTTTTAGAATAAAATGTTTGATGTTTTGCAAATGAGAGATACATGGAGTTTATATAGAGAAAGGAGGACGAAGGAGAGGAGAGAAGACAAGAGAAAACATGCAAGAGCATGCACAAGTGTCTTGTAAATTACACTCATGCAAGCTCATATAAGAGTCTTGGAAATAACAACAAGTAATAAATGCAAAGTTTGAAGAGAAAAGGGAAAATGGGCCAAGGCTTTGTGAGTGGGCCTTGGACCACGAATTGGATTGATAAAGGGGCTTGAAAATGTTACTTAAGCCTCATTAAAAACCTTGTCAAGAAAACCCATTGGGACAAAACTTGACAAGGGAAAAAGAGTGCATAAGCAACACTTAACCCTTTACCGATCCTCTTGAGCCGTGATCACTATGAGTGAGGATTGAACGACGTCTTCTTGATTCTTGTTTAACTCCTTAAGTAATCCATTGATGGCTTGGTTGAAATTCTTGGCTCTTGATCTTGTTAGAGGACCCGCTGGGACGATCAATGCTTCCTCCGGTACAAGCTGTTCTTCGTGTGGTTCAAGTGGGTTGGCCATGATCTCATCAGTTGCATTTTTACATTTATTTCGGGCTTAGGGCTAGCTGAAAGACTCTTATAAAGTCCCCCTGCAGCAGTTGTACGAGTTTTTGACCCTATTATCAATAAAGAAACCAAATTTTCTTCCTTTTTCTCCTTAAGTGTTCTTAAGAAAAAAGCTTGTTCTTTGTCTTGTGTGTGTGATTCCACAAGGCTGAGTTCGTGTACTGTATCAGAGACTAATCACATCTCTGTGGTGTACTTCAATCCGCCAGCACCTCCCCTTCAATCGATCCCACACGAGAGAAGCGACCGCCATCGTGTCAGAGCTACATCAACGACCATCTTTCCTTCACAAGAGAGAAGTGACCGCCATCTTGTGAAGCCATCCTATCTATCCTACTATGCTCCAAGGACCACTTTGATGGTTTTGAAAAGGATGTGGCGAGATTGATGGTGAACGATGGATAGATCTTGAACTTCTTTTGATAGTTTTTATTTCCAGTTTTGTTTTCTTTTATTTAAAAAAAAAAAAACAAAAATTAAGAACCCTAGTTTGCTGTAGCCTTGTTTCTATAGGATGTTTAGTTTTATTTTTCCTTAACAAAAAAAAAAAAAATTCGTCACTATTCTTTCCTTAAATCGTCTGCTTCAGTCTTTGATTTAGTTTCTGTACTAGTTCAAGGTTTTCGTCAGAAAAAAAAATTATTTCTTTTTAAAATTTTGTTTCATTATCTTTGTTAGCTAGTATTGTTTAAGTATCTTAAAGTTTATTTACATTAAAAAAAAAAAGAGTTTTCAATTTCTTGTCTAATTCAGCATGTGCATCAGTTTCTTGCTTCTAAAGTTTTCATTTTCGATTTTTGTGGTACGTTGATTTTCTTTGTTGTTTTTGTTTAAGAGCCGGATACTTTTAGACACTCATAATGGGAGAACACGCAGCCATACCCCAAGATGCCATGATGCAAATGATGCAAACCCTATCGAAACAACTAGAAGGGTTTGGCGAAAGGATAGGTTGTTTGGAGCAGCCTCAGCACAGAGCTGAAGCTGAACCAGTTCGGGTTCGAAAGGAACGTCCGTGAAGAGGAAGAAGACTCCTTTGACCTGGATGACGAAGATGATCCACCACCTGATCCATTAAGGCGTCACCATCAGCAGAGAGAAGATCCCTTGATGAGGAACCGCGCTCGAGAGGTGGACACACGTGACCAGAACCGAGATGTTAAACTAACCCCTCCTACTTTTGTAGGAAAATCAAGCGTAAGATGTCTCTGAGCAATCGTACCAGAAGTAGTACACCTTGGAATGCAAGTAACAACCGAGGCATGGACAAAGACAAAGCTATAGACAACGATTCCCGATTCAAGAATAAGTCTAGTGAAGCGCCTAAGATCACCAAGGTAGGGGACACATGGCGAGAGAATGTCCGAACCAACGAGTGATGATTCTCACTTGTTGGATAAAGGGTACATCAGAGAGAGCCTTAGCCCGTGTGATGTACCAGTTCTCTTGGTACCAAAGAAGGATGGCACATGGAGGATGTGTGTAGACTGCCGAGCAATCAACAACATCACCATCATATACCGACATCCTATTCCGAGGCTAGACGACATGTTGGACGAGCTAAGTGGTGCAATCATCTTCTCCAAATTTAACTTACGAAACGGCTATCACCAAGTCCGAATGAGAGAAGGCGACGAGTGGAAGACCGTATTCAAGACCAAGCAAGGTCTCTATGAATGGCTCGTTATGCCATTCGGGCTAAACAATGCACCAAGCACCTTCATGCGATTGATGAACCAGGTTCTAAGGTCATTTATTGGTAAAATTTTTTGTTGTCTACTTTGATGACATACTTATTTACAGTAAATGCTATTCTGATCATACTAAGCACTTAGAGTTAATTCTGAAAACCCTTCGGAAGGAAGGCCTTTATGCTAACCTAAAGAAGTGCTCATTTTGTACTGACAAGTGTGTGTTCCTAGGTTTTGTAGTGAGTAAAAATGGCCTACAAGTAGATGAAGAAAAGATCAAGGCGATCCACGAATGGCATACTCCAGCATCTATTGGATATGTTCGCAGTTTTCATGGACTAGCAAGCTTCTACAAGAGGTTTGTCAGAGACTTCAGCGCAGTGGCTGCACCAATGACTACTGTAATCAAGAAAAATGTACCATTCTCATGAGGAGAAGCCCAATAACAGTCATTCAACACGCTAAAACAGAGGCTCACACAAGCACCAGTTTTAGCACTTCCAGATTTTGAAGTTATGTTTGAAGTGGAGTGTGATGCATCAGGTTTGGGAATTGGAGCTGTACTACATCAGAGGAAAAGACCAGTCGCGTTTTCAGTGAAAAGTTAAGAGGAGCAGCATTGAACTACTCGACCTACGACAAAGATCTTTATGCCTTAGTACAAGCACTTGAGACATGGCAACACAACTTGTTGTCCAAGGAATTCATCATTCACACCGACCATGAAACTCTGAAGCATATCAAGGGTCAGACTTTGCTCAAGAGGAGACATGCAAAGTGGTTGGAGTTCATCGAGACGTTCCCATATGTGATCAAGTACAAGAAGGGAAAGGAGAACGTGGTAGCTGATGCTTTGTCGAGGAGACATGCCCTTATAGCTACAATGGAGGCTAAAGTAATGGGTTTTGAGCACATCAAGGAGTTGTACAAGGATGATCCAGAATTAGGAGAGTGCTACAAAGAGCTTGGCAAAGGAGCTTATCAAGCATTCTACTTGCAAGATGGGTTCTTGTTCAAAGACACGCGGTTGTGCATCCCTCAAGGTTCAATGCGAGAGTTGATACTCACTGAAGCACATTGTGGAGGGTTGATGGGTCACTTTGGTGTTGAAAAAACCTTGGCAATGGTCATGGATCATTTCTTTTGGCCCCATCTCAAGAAGGACGTGGAGAGATTTTGTTCTCGATGCATTGTTTGCCAGAAGGCAAAATCCATGTTACATCCTCATGGTCTATATTTACCATTACCTATTCCTAATGCCCCTTGGGTAAATATTTCTATAGAATTTGTCTTAGGATTGCCTAAGATTAGACACAAGGATTCAATCTTTGTCGTCTTGGACCGGTTCTCCAAGATGGCACACTTCATCCCATGTGACAAGACCAATGACGCAACTCAAACCGCGGATTTGTTCTTCAAGGAAGTGGTGCGCCTCCATGGTATCCCGAGGACCATGGTCTCCGATCGTGACACCAAGTTCTTGAGTCACTTTTGGAAGACACTTTGGAGAAAGTTAGGTAGCAAGCTTCTATTCTCTACAACTTGTAATCCTCAAACGGATGGACAAACCAAAGTGGTAAACCGAACTCTCTCAACTTTACTTAGAGCCACTCTTGGTAGGAATATAGCTAGATGGCTTGATTGCATTCCTTATATTGAGTTTGCTTATAATCGTGCCGTTCACTCGGCTACAAAACTATCTCCCTTCGAGATAGTCTATGGAACTAACCCTTTATCTCCCATAGATTTAGCACCTTTACCTCAGATCATAAAGAAGTTGCATGAAAAAGCAAGAGGCAACTTGGAGAAGAAGGCCGTCGACAACAAACGCAAAGCTAATCGAGGAAGAAAAGAAGTGTTATTTGAACCAGGAGATTGGGTCTGGTTATATATGAGGCCTGAGAGGTTTTCAACACAAAGAGCATCCAAGCTATCACCAAGAGGCGACGGTCCTTTCAGGATCCTCGAGCAACGGAATAATATTTTAGATGTTATTTTAAGAATTTTGCTAAATGTATTTATAATTTTAAATTTATACTTGTCTGCTTATGATCCAGGAGATTCAGTTTTGAGGGCAAAACCTTTTGAAGAGGGAGGGAATGATGCGGACATCGATTATCCTGTCCAA